AAAACAAACAAACAAATCACACCTAATCCTTGTTTCTTCGCCAACCGGACACTCCTTGCCATAGCCATACTCCTCTATCGAACCCTCACCAAACACGCAAGCAATCTTGGTCATTTTTATAGCATGCACACAACTACAGAAAAAGTCTCCCGTCGATCAATCTGAACGGTGAGAAGGTCCGGAGAAACCCTTGGAGCATCATACCTCAGCTGCATCTCAATCTAACAGTGACCAGTGGAGATCGGAGCCCAAGAAGCCGAGGAGTTCTCAGCCCCGTTTCATGGATAAGGAGACTAAATTTCATGAAATGAAGCCTCGATCCGAACTCACTGCGATGAGATGACCCACCAGGTGAAATTTGGTGCCAAAGACCATCGGCGACAGCGATCAGCGTAGTGGTCGGTGACGAACGACACCACCACCTGTAACTCACAGTTTAGAGAGAAGGGAGAGAGAAGAGAAGATGTAAAAAAATGAAAAAAAAATAATAATAAAAGAGCCTATTTGTAGGCCCATCAAAACGACACCGTTTTGGTGCCCACTCTTTTGCAGTAAAATGACACCATTTAAGGTAAGGTAGGACAACCCACTTCAGCGCATGGGGTAAATCGAGTTCCAGGCCAACCTAGTTTTGTAAGCTTCCATTTCAGTATTTAAATGAATCGTGGGTTATTTCTGAGTTTTAACTTCGAGTTTTGTCATTTTTACATTTTCATTATCGTATGCTTTATTAATATCGTTTGGTTAAATGGCTAGTTTAATTTATTAATTTAACATTGTTATATTTTAGTCCTTATTTGTAATATTGCTCAAAATTGTTGTATTTATATATACCTTCTAATTTTGTTTGTTTTTGTTTTAACCACTGCTTTAGTATAGAATAATATGGATGTATAATTCGATATTTTTATTGTATTTTTAGTATTTTAAATTTAGTCTTTGTGTTATTTTATATGTATGTTTATACCTTTGAGTGTTGGTGTTTTGTTGTGGATTCATTTTAGTCACTGATTTTGTTAAATCATAAGGAAATAAAATGGGATTAATCCATAATGATTATCTATTTTCTTTATTTACTTTGATTAAGCCCTATGTTCATTTCTTATTCTTTAAAGGCGTATGTATCTAACATAAATTGTTTTATTAACTTAATTTTATATATTGTTAATCCTAAATTATGTATGTGTTTACGTGTGTATTTATATATATATATATATATAAAGAACATATTTTTTTATTTATGTGTCAAGCTTATATTTATTTATTTTAATAATATATTTATATATTGTATTTATTTTTATAAAATATGAATATATTTTATTAAAGATAATTTTTTATATATATTTGAGTGTCTACATAATATATTTTTAACAAGGCGATCTATTCGATATTTTGAAAAACTTTAAAATATTCGATTGTTCGATTAACTTATGAAAGACCTAAAAAGACTTGGAGTGTCCTTTCCAAGGTTTATTAGAATAAAAACTATATTTTATTGTTTATTATTTATGTGTCATGTTACATGGATATTTATCTATTTTGTATACATTTATTACTATTGCACTCATAAATCATGCATTTGTTTACTCATTTTCCTTAAGATTCTAAGGCAATGTTGTCTTGCGTCATGAGTTAATAAAATTACGTCCAACATAACTAGATTTTAATTTATGTTAATTCACGTAGCAAAAGGACATCCTTTTTAAATAAAATCGAGTGAATTGAATCTTTCATCGAATCAAATATTTAAAAAAAAATGAATTCACTCATTCCAAAAAAAACTCAAAGAAATAATAAAGATCTTAATTTAAATTTCGAGTTCAAATTTGTAAAATTTCATCGTTTTCTACAACGTATAATCGAGATGTATCAATCTTGGGCGCTGTGGGGTGATTACCCTTCCTCACACGTAACCAACTCTCGAATCCTTACTTTTACGAATAAGCAAATTGAATCAGGAATGTTATCCTTACTAAACTTATGCACTACCCAAATTAGGTACATGTGATTATATCAAAAAACATCAGCACAATCACCCAAATAATTAGACGGGGAAAATTTCCCTAAACCATCGGACTTTATTTTCTCAAATAGGGTGTTCTTTATAGTGGACCAACAAAGACGCATAGATCGCCGTCATCTTCATGAAGACGCGTTAAAGATTCAACGCCTTCCTAACCTCCTGCATAGTTGACTGGCCAATTTTTTTCGAGGATTTTGGTGACGTTTGTTGTAGCGAAAGGCGCATGATTTAATGTGTGCATCATTTGTGATGCTTGAAAGACGAAAAAGGCAAACACAGAAGCTAATGTTATAAGACGTTGTATATTTTGGACATCTTTCAAAAGATACTATATAATTTTTTCGAGGATTTGGTGACGTTTGTTGTAGCGAAAGGCGCATGATTTAATGTGTGCATCATTTGTGATGCTTGAAAGACGAAAAAGGCAAACACAGAAGCTAATGTTATAAGACGTTGTATATTTTGGACATCTTTCAAAAGATACTATATAATCTCAACGACTGTAACATTCACCCTATTTAAAAAAAAATTCCTTTCAACACTCTACATTAGCGAATTCATTTTCCCACTACATTACTCTAGTGGCGGATGTACTAAGCCTAGGGCTGAGTAACGAAACCGAGAAAATCGAAAAATCGACACGAACCGAGTAAAACGGTTCAGTTCGGTTTGACATTATACGGTTCGGTTTAAAGTCTCAATTCTTTTGATTCGGTTCGGTTCGGGTTTTCCATATGGAACCCATTTATTCCATATTGAACTGAATAGGCAATTTTTAAAAATATATATATAGTTTCAAGTGATTTTTTCATTGAAAACCCGAAAAACAGAATCGAACCGAAAAACCCGAACCGTTAAAAAAACCAAACCAAACCGAAAAAACCAATTTCGGTTTTTTAACCATTCGGTTTCGGTTTAAATTTTGAAAAACCATTTACTTAGGTTCGGTTCAATTTTTGGTAAAAAACCGAACCGAATACACCCCTAACTAAGCCCCAATAAGAGCCAAGTGCATCCCATTATTTTAGAAAAAGTGGTTAAATTTAACTTATTGTGTTAAGGAAAAAATAAAAAATTACAATTTTTGAATACCCATTATTTTTAAGAAAAGAAAATTAAAATTTTGGACCCCTATTCTTAAATTTCTGAATCCGCCACTGCATTACTCCCAACAAATTTACCAAAAAATATCCAATAATAACCATTTTAGATTCGCATATAATCAGACCTCACACGCAAGTAACTTTTAAATAACAAAAAAGTAAATTACACATCAGAGTGGCACTAAGCTCCTTATGATTCTTCTTGGTAGTCAGTCCACTTCCTTGGCTATGATGCTTTGGCTGCATTTGTTAAATGGAAGAATAACAGTTTTGATCCATATTAACAATATAATTTACTTTTTAAAATAAAATTTTAAGTTTGGAACCATCGAAAGCGTAGGAGTTCCAATTAAAACTATTATTAGTTTCATGCAACACTTGATACCCGATCGAATGGTTTGACGTGAATATCAAGTGTCACATTAGTCATTGTAGTGACTTAATACTAATTCACTTTTAGGTTTATTTTAGAGCATGGTTAAAAATAAAAATTTTCATTAATCGTGTAACTCAATCATATTTAACGTCCTAAATTTCTGAGTCAACGTACAAGGCTTGACCCGAGAAGTCCGTGGACCAATGTAAGTTGGTGATTAGAATCATTGGACCGAATGTGAACCTAATTGGATATGAATTGAACTAGATTAACTATAAAAAGAGAATATCTGATTTGGAAGCAATTGAGGAGGGACCACTTGAGTGATTAACCCATTAGTCAAAACAAGGCTGACTTTTGTTAATATTTGCTTATGCCAACCAGGTAAAACAAGGGGGAAAGCTGAAGCTTTCTCAACCTTGTTTATCTTCTTCTCTTCTCATTCTCGTTCTCTCCCTTATGCTCAAAAGCCTTCATTGCTCGAAAGGCGAATTCTTAGCCATTTTACTATAGGAATTGTGTCCAAAGAAGGTAAGATTAAGCTTTGGGGGATCAAAAGCATCAATTTGAACTCTAAATCTTCCATGGAAGATGGTGTAGAGTAAGCTTGGGTTGGGGTATTGACCCTATGAGCTAAACCAATCAGTCTTTGCCTTTGTTTCTGCATCGTAATTCCGTTTCCATGCTTCTCCTAGACTCTTGTTTACGTCGGTAATCCATTTTGCACTTTTGTAGTTAGTGCAAGAGGTTGGAGACCATCCATGTGTAAGATGGAATGGGGAGGTGAGCGATAACAGCTCCATTTCGAGATTCTAGCATCAATATGGTACATTTCTAATTTTAAAATGGTGCTTGAACTTTATAAATGCGACCCTTTGTCGATTGTAAATACATGTTGGGTGTTTAAAGTGCTAAAACATGATTTAGATTCAAATTGTGGTATTTGATGTTAAACATGTATTGTTTTGGTGCTAAATGATCATGTGTAACCCCATAAGTCTTAGTAATCGGTTTAGGCTCAAACTGTAGTGTTTTAAAGAGTATCAATATCATAAAATTAAGTATTGATATCATAAAGTTAAGTATCGATACTTAATATATATATATATATATATATATATATATATATATATATATATTATTTATCAAACAACAAATCAAGTAAAATCCAGCGTTAATTCCACCCAATAAATCTAACATATACCACACAATCTAACATATACCACACAATCTTAATGACCCAGTAAATCTAACATATACCACACAATCTTTGAGCCATCCCCTACCTAATGAATCTAACAGATAATTCCACCCTTAGATCATCTACACTTCCATACTCTCTTGATCATGCATGGATAATGCATTACCCTTGATCATCACACCTACTTAAATTAATTCTTTTCCTTCATGCATGTCATTTGTCCATTAGGAACGATTAGAAATTTGTGCCTAACATAAAATCTTACGTGATTTCAAAGCTGAGTTACCGATACAACAATCAAACGAAAAGATCACGTCGTTTCTTGGGATTGGGATCAGGGTTTTCTTTTCTCATCATTGCTACAAATTCATCGTAGTTGATATTTCCATCCTGTAAAAATTATTGTAAACATTCATGGATTAGCTGCTTTGTTTTTACTTGGAAAAATGAGATGTGTATATATTTTGCTTACATGGTCGGTGTCAACTTCGGAAATGATTTCTTTTATATCTCGGCCGTCATGCATTCCATACTCACGTAGAGCTTGATCTAATTCTTCCATCGTGATATACCTGAAAATATCCATGTAATATATATATATATATATATAAGAAATCAATATAATTAAAAAAAAAGAGAGAGAGAAGATTGCACGAGACAAATTATATGAAGTTGATTAGTTTACCCGCTGTTATCTTTATCAAAGTGTTGGAAAGCATGAAAGAGATGATCTTCTCTATCCATTCGGTTCATATGCATTGTGGCAGTGATGAACTCATCGTAGTCTATGGTTCCATTTCCATCTGCATCGGCCTATACAAATATATATATTCAAAATAAGTTTATAAGCATTGGCTTAAAAGAAATACTAAAATAACATGGGTAAACTTCACCTATTCTCGCAATTCCGTTTTGGTCACTAAACTATTTTTTTTCAAAATTATACTTAACATTACGTTTTAGTCACCCGCCATTAAAAATATAAACATATATGTTGATGTGGTAATTTTTTCAATAATGACATAACATTATCTTATGGTGACACATCAACAGTTCTGTTTATCTTTTAACATAGGATGACCAAAACGTAATATTAGGTATGATTTTGTGAAGAAAATGGTTGGGTGACCAAAATGGAGCTACGGAGATAGGTGGGTGAGTAGATACACAGTTTACCCAATTAATATTAACGTTTGGAAGAAAGACATACGGCCTCCATTAGTTGTTGAATTTCGTATTCAGAGAGTTTGGTGCCTTGCTTGGCAAGGCTTTGCTTCAATTCTTCGAGTGTAATGGTGCCACTGTTGTCGGTATCCATGCCTTTGAACATCTCTTTCAACCCCATGATTTCTTCCTCCGATAAACACCCAGCAATTACCCGCAAAGCAACTTTCTTAAACTGGTTCATTGCCTTGAACTGTTTCAGCCTGTTCAACACTGCATTGTCAAGTGGTGTATCTGGTGCTTCACCATCCTCTTTTATCCATGGATGACCTGTTTTTCAGTCGTTCATTCGCTATCAGATAACTTGCATCCCAAGTTTACCCTTAAAACCAGAGAACAACGAGGCGTGCGTATACTTACTTAGAACCTGGCTTGCGGTTAACCTCTCCTTGGGATCCGAATTCAGCATCTTGCTTACAACATCCTTTGCTTGAGTTGAAATTTGAGGCCATGGATCATTCTTGAAATCTATTCTCCCTCGTAAAATCGCATTGAATATCCCAGTTTCGGATTCTATCGACACAGAAATAATATTCATTTATTTTATTAAATTAATTCGTGATATCAATTCGATAAATAAAATAATATTAATCACAGTTACTGTTATTAACCTGCCCAGAAAGGTGGAAAACCAGAAAGAAGAATATACAACATAACTCCAATGCTCCATATATCAGCTTCCGGTCCATATTTCCTTTTCAAAACTTCGGGTGCAATGTAATATGCACTCCCAACAATGTCTTTGAATTCTTCACCTATTCCAATTTGAGTGATGAATCTTAGTGAAAATAAAAAAATTCTCTAAATTTAATTAAATAGTTTCTGTCCTAAATAAATGTCGGGTCAAAATGCTTTAAAAAGAAGAATAAAAGTCAAAATGATTATTTTTTAATAGTCTTAGTTGATTATTAGGTAGTATATGTTCAAAATATTTTTTAATCATTGACAACACGCTCACGCTGCAAACACGGCAGGTCGAGTCTGAGATTTCTAGGGAGAACAACACTCTTTTTTACCACTGAGGTCGCTTGATGGATTCATTAGAGTGACTGTTTAATCACATGTTTAGTGTTATTTTCCCTAAAATGAAACGTTAGTGATCAAAATATTTTGATGTATATATATACAAAATTGAGTATTTAATCAAACGTTAGCGATACTTTTTGTAGGCATAATATAAAAATTAACCTCCAACATTTACTAAAACAGTCATTTTAGCTCGTATTCTTTTTTTGGAGTATTTTGTCCCCCACGACGTTTCATTTTGGGACAAAATGTCATTTTTATAGATGAAAACCGTTAGTTAACAAACAATTATCACTCTAAAATATGGTATTTTTACCCTAAATGAAACATCGAATGCCAAAATGTTTTGGAAAAAAGAATAAGAATCTAAGCCACTATATGGTTAGACGTTAGTGACCTTTTTACCCTAAAATGAAATATTAAGACCAAAATGATTAATTCGATAAATGTTGAGGGTTAATTTTGGCATTAACTCTTTTTGGTATGACTATAATAATTTGAGATTATAAATCATCAAACCTGGCTTGTAAAACGAAGAAAGACCAAAATCTGTGGCCTTGAGCGGTGAATCTTCTTCCTTGTTCAACAACAAGAAATTCTCAGGCTTGAGATCCCTATGGATGACCCCCATAGAATGGCAAGTGTGCACAATCTGAACAATTGTTCTTAGCAAAGACGCCGCGGCTCGCTCGGTGTAATGCCCCTTTGCGATGATCCGATCGAACAACTCTCCCCCGGCACACAGCTCCATCACCAAATGAACCGAATACTTATCTTCGTAAGCTCCTTTGAGCTCCACAATGTTCGGCTGCCCCGTCAAATGGTGCATGATTTGCACTTCCCTTCTAACATCTTCGATGTCGTCTTTGTTCGTCAGTTTTCTCTTGGTTATCGTCTTGCACGCGAATTGTTCCCCGGTCGTCTTGTGTGTGCACAAATGTGTGACCCCAAACTGACCCCTGCCCAATTCTTTCCCGATGTTGTAGGTCGATTTAACGTCTTCCATCGGTCGGCCTAAGACGGTTCCGAGGGTGGCAGACGTGGATTTTGAGGCGCCGTCATGTCGAGAACCTTGTTGTGCATCTCCCTTCTGTTCATTGTTAACGTCGTCGTCGGCCTCGCCACGAGAGCAACAACACCCCATGGCGGGATGATGGCCTTAAAGAAGGCGGAGAAAATTCCGGAAAATGAATCTGTTTGGGAGTAAAGAAAATGAAAGAAAGGGATGATCGGCAAGAAAGGCTGAGAAAATGATTGTGGAGAGATTAGTGTTGGATTTCGGTGTAGAAATTGGAGGAGATTGCTAGTGAGGGAATTTAGGATGAAGGGATGGTTTAAATCATGTCGGATTTCTGTTTGAGATAGATGATTTTTCGGACCAAGATTGTGTGTTTCTTTAGCGGTTTCCATTAATGGGTGGAAGATGAATATGAACGCTACTGAATTTCAGTTGCCTTGAACTGTTTGCTGTTACTTGTTTGGTAATAACTATGAAACAAGTTTCGAGTATGGCATTAAATTACAACCGTAATCTAATAATACAACGATGGTATCATAATATTCTTTTAAGATCATCAGTCTAGGGATGGACCCGGACCCGACCCAATCGGGTCGGGTTATTTTAAAAAAATTGGATTCGGATCGGGTCGGATTTAGGTGAAAAATATCCGAACCGACCCGACCCGAAAAAAAATTATAATTTTACTTTATATATTTAGGAATAATTCAATAATACCCCTCTATATATTGTTTTTTTTAATTAAGTCATTGTTTTTATTGAATAAAAATAATATTTTTATTATTATTTCGGGTCGGGTTTTTAAGTTATATATCGGGTCGGGTGGACCAAAAACCCGACCCATGCCCATCCCTAATCATCACGACAGTATAACTATACCCGTAATATAAGAAAATAATTAATTTTTAGAAAATAAATCATAATTGTTTTAACTATAATCACTGAGGTCGTTTGATTCGTATAATAAAATCGAACTTCACATATATAACAGGGGTGTTTTTTCTCAACCAATTTCAAAAAAAAAAAAAATATCATGCCAGATGGCTTTACTATTCAAATATTACATAAGATATTTATATATTTATAACTAAAATTAATTATATTAAGATACACTACAACGGATGGTATTGAATTTTAAATGTTGTATTATTCATATCATTGAACTTTTAATTATTTCAATTATAAATATAAATTTTAGTTTTAAGTTTATTTAGTATATCATTTTGTTAACAGGGTGATAACGTGGATTGCAATTACCGAAGTGGATGTTGAAACAAAATGATATTATTTTGGTAGGACTATTTCGATATATGAAATGGCCCAAAATGATAAATAATATTTATAAATTTAATATATTTATAAAAATAGAGTTTAATTATTGTAAAGGAAATTATATATAATATTTATAAGAATAATATATTTATAAATTATATTATCAAATTAGCCTCGATTATAATTTATACATATTTTATTTGAGTTAAAATCAATTGTAATTTTATCAATTATAGGAATAAACTTTTATTTTGGTTTTAGTTATACCACTGGACCTTTAAATTGTTAACGACACGATGACATGAATGATAGTTGTCGATGTGGTTAACGAATGTCGACGTAAACACCTCACCAAAACGACATTTTGATCTAATTATTAACAACTTAATCAGAGTTCTGATTACAAAGATCGCCCTACATACAAAAATAATCGGCAATCAAACTATACCCCAATGATTACAAAGAGTAATATTAACACTATCTAATCTATTTATATTCCTACTCCTTAAGTGTAAACCAACAATTTCCTTAATAGCATGGAACATTTCTTCAACATTTCTAGATTGACCCTGGAAAAGTCTTTTGTTTCTTTCTTCTCATAGGATGTAAATTAAAGTTTTGGTTAGTGTTACAATTGATAATATTAAAAGTTTAGTGATATAAACAATACAATGCATAAAGTTCAGTGATATCTAATGTATTTTACTCTATTTTTTAAACATACTAAATGACTATCAATCATCGGTTCACACATATTTCTTGATCAAACCCTCCATAATCTCTACCTTTCTCATTTAATAAAAAGAACACACCTTAAGTTAACATTGATGTGAAGATTTACATTTTCCAAAAATTACAACTCTCCGACATGATTTCTGGCAACACCAAAATCAACAAATAACTGATCACATCGATTAAGCTTACCTATCCTGCTAATCTATCAGTAATCATCAGAATTCTATGCCTAATGACAACATCGAGAGTTATTATAAAATCTCGTGCATCAAATCAAGAGAAGGATCTGAACTCACTCGTGACTTTTCTCTCTTCTACTTAATGGAGACAATTATTAAACAATAACAAGTTGATGAAGGAACTTTGATTGTCTTATTGTGACATGAAACTGTATATCATGGAGTCCAGAGCCAAAATTTTGGAGCAATTACATTGCAGAATCTGCAGATGTGGACTGTGAAACTGTGTTTTTCTCAAGGGAACCAGATATTATGAAAGGGAAAACTTTGCCAAGAAAACATATGGCAATACTAGGAGAAATGAATATGTTAAGAGAATCTCAGTAAGTCGGAACCGGTGGATCGACCTTGATTGCATACGCATGTATTCCCCCAGCTACATTGAACACTTCCTTGAATCCCTGAGCCCAAAAAATCAAAAATTCGTCAAGAAAGATCCCGGAAAAGATAGTATTTGTTCGAAAGACTCTCAATCATTTGATAAAGAACACTCAAACATCCCTACAAACGTCGTGCTTAAATCCAGGCCCTCCAGGGATAACAACAATTCCTTTAACCACTGAGGTCATTTGGTTCGTGCTCCAACAACATATTAGAAACAACAGCGATGGCAGAAAATAGAATGAAAGATGAACTTTTGTGGTCAAGGGAAACAAATTAAAAAATTCAATGCTGCTCTGCAAAGGAAAATGTAAGCAGTGAATGATATATCATACATTACAGCACAGGATAAGAGCAGCTAGCAGAACATTGATATATATATACACATGAAGGGTGGAGGAATGAGAAGCTATGATTCATGATGAATCCCCTGAAAGTGAATCTGAACTCCAAATAAGCACATCCAATAAATTGTGAAGAAAAACGAGTAAAACGGTGAATGTGATGATAATAAACTTAACCTGAGTATGTAACCACTTGGCAACCTGCAACGATCGCCTGCCATGGTGACACTGCACGATACATTTTAACATCGATTAAAATGGAACATTGGAGGATTCAAAGACAAACAAGCATAAAATGCAAGAGAGACAATTGAATATTAAATTCTAGAAGCCACTTATAATTAAACGTAGTCAAATGGGACTTAAATTGCGGTTGCGGTCGCGGTCGCAGTCGCGTTTCTGATTGCCTTCATCGCGATTGAAGACATAGCGGGTGCTATTGCGGACATTGCGCATATCATGGTCATACAATAATGGTTTTGGACGACACCTTTACCGCTATATAACGACCGCTATTCTGATAGAAGACCTCTATTTAAATACTTACTTAAAATCATTTAAAAACCAGAGACACTCCAGCAAAAGGCTTTCTAGTAGAATCATATATTCTTTCCTTTCTTTACTTACAAGTTCCTTTTGCTTTTATTAATTCTTTTACAAAAATTTATTATCAGATACTATTCATTTGGTTAGCCAAACGCAGGGGGAAAATTGGTTGAAAATCTTGGCGTCAACAAGGAAATACTCACCAGGACATATGTATCTTTCATTGGATCAAATTTGTTAGTTATTTCAGGTCCCCAACTTCCTACCTGGCGTAGAGGAAGAACATGGAATCCCGGCAAAGATGCTAGGGACCTTCCATGTGAAAAAGATTGAGACATGACCATCATCCTCTTCAAAGGCAAAAACAAAGTGTACCGCCTTAGCATGACATGTTCCAACTCTATAGTGCCTCATGGTGATATAATTCGTTAATTGAACTATGGGTAAAACATTGTATTTGCAAAATTGCTTCAATAATGGGTTGATTTTTTGGGGGTCAAATAGAGTGAAAAAAAATAATTTTTTTCAACTAGGGTGTTTGCTACCGTTCTTGGGGAAGACACCTAGACCACTCAACGGCTTCTGGAAGATACCTAGATCACCCAACGACTTTAGGAAATCATGTGGATTGCAGGGTGTTTTCTCGAGGTTTTATGCACGCACGCTAGTAAGGGTGGCTCCAGAAGTCGTCATGTGGTCCGGACGACTTCCACAAAGCACTATAGCTATACCATAGTTGAAGAAATAGTTTTACCTACACCCTATATGGCCAAATTTTTATTTCAAACACATTATTCAAACAATTTTACCCATTGTATTAGTAATGCTACCAGAGGAGAACTTCAGGTAGCTAACCTCGATAACGATTATGGTGTATGAAATGCTATAATAGAATCATGATCATTAAAGATACTTCATGACCTAACGCTTAAAAGCTTCATAGTGATGTTTCAATTAAGAGTTGAAATTCTATTTTACCATATCACCTACACTAAGAATTTAGAGTGGTTTTTTGCTTTTGTTTTCTAAGCATGATGTAATTGTTGTAGAGTGCGCGCGTTGTCAATGTCTAAAAAATATTCTGAAAAGATTTTTTTAAAAACAATATTCTGAACAGATACTACCTTGTAATCACCTCAGACTACTCAAAAAAAATATAAATTCGGAAAATCCAGGTAAAAAAAATTGTTTTTCGAGTTATGAAAGCATACACTTCTTCAGGCTCCCGGACATCTATCAACTGAGCCTGTTCAATGAAACTAGGGTCCTGTAGTTTTGCATGAAACTCCTCTGGTTCAATGTCTTTAAGCAATGACTCTTCCCTGAAGCAAGGTAAAGGGGAGTTAGAACCTGCTTAAGCTTCATCAAGCATAGATTTCAATTGTTGTTCAAAGAAATACCTCTCAGATAGAACTTGTAACAAGTGCCATCCAAAATTAGTTTTGCATTTCACAACTTTGTTTAAAGGTGCACTAAAAGCAGCCTCCTCAAATTCTGGCACCTAATATATTTTATCATGAAAAAATAAAGTCCATAAACATGTTCTCAATTAAATTTTCAGCCCTTTTCAATTAAAAGGATATATATATATATATATATATAAAGAGGAATCAACATACCATTTGTCCCTTTCTTACCCACCCAAGCATTCCCCCCTTCTCCTTGGAGGGACATATGGAGTATTCAACAGCAAGATCAGCTAAATCCCTCCCTTCACCAATCAAATAACCATTAACTATCAGACAAGCAACATCAAAATTGATTTTAATCTATGCTCTATTTTGTTGTTGCCTTAAGCATTTACTCTTTCTAAAAAGATGCTATAAAACAAAAGCAAATGCTAGAAAGTTGAATTAAAGATTAACAAAAACTGAACAAATGACCAAATACGAGACCAGTTCCAATACAATTATTTTACATAAGGATGAAATCATATATTATTCTGAATTTATATAAAGAAAATCACTCGTTAAGATTTAGTAATCAACAAATCCCCAAAATGTGATATTTTAAGAATACCATTCACTAAACTCATAATAATACTCATTGGATTAAAGTTTGGGGAAAAAAAATCACCTCCAGCTATTCTCTGTTGAAGCTCCTCCAAGAGCTTCTGGCCGTCTTCTTTTAGAAGCAAATGCTGTACCAATCTCTAAACTCATAGTAATATTGTACATCTAAAATTTTATAATTTTATACCTTTAAATTTTTTACTGGTGATCTAATAACGTACTTTTAAAATTATACAACTTTACATCTCTACGTTTTTAATATAAGCACTAAATTTTTTTAAAACTTTTATTTAGGTCCCTAATTTTTAAACATTTAGTTTGTTTGTAATATAATCCCGACATAATCGACCAACCATTACACTACCGTTAGTACGTTTAACATGATCACTGAACTTTTCAGGTGCTTGCATTTAGATCCTAACTTTTAAAACTTACACCGTCATTAATTTCTTTCTAAACCCCAAATTACTTTTCGATCTCAAATTTCTTTTTTCGCAATCGGATGCTTGAATTTTTTACTGATGATCTAATAACAAACTTTTAAAATTATATAACTTTACATCTTTACGTTTTTAATATAATTTTCTGAGGTTGCACTCCTAACACAAAATCCTACTTCCTAACGCAGAATCCTACTTCTGTTTCTGAAAAATAACAAACCTGAAAGTCCGAGTTGTGGATGATCCGCATTGGGAGAGGCTTGGCTGAGAGCAAGAGATGGAGTGGAGAAGAAAGAGTGAAATGCAGAAAAAGTGAAGATTTTGTGAAGAGATTGATGATGAGAATGAAAAGAAGAGAGATTGGAATCAACGATCTCCTTAGATCAACGAGATTTGTGAGAGATGATGCTATCCGACCGAAACGGGATGCTCTTAACATTGTTATTCACTTCTTCTCACGATTTGCTTTCGATCTATAGCGCCGCAGTTGGATTCAAATGACTTAATCAACAAATCAAATGATAATACATCCATTTATAGTTGAATACATTAGAATAAACGGTACAGATTAATTTATATCAGAGAAAATCGCATCAGTGACCAAAAATGCCTTATAATATACGATTTTAACCAATTTTTTTTGGATTTGTCAAAATGACCAACAAAATCGCAACGCGAAATAAAAATCGTAACGCGATCCCCAGAATCGCAAATCAGTTTCCAAAATCGCAACGCGATTCTTGAAAATCGCAACGAGAATAGCAACGAGAATAGCAACGAAAATCGCAACATTTAGTTTGTTTGTAATATAATCGCAACGAGAATAGCACTAAATCAGTTTACGGATACGCGTTGCGATTTGTCTTTGTCTTTGTTCTGTCTTTTGGTTGAAGTAATGCAATCCATTCAAGTTTCAATTTGCAGAAGAGTCGCAACGAGAGAAATGAAAATCGCAACGTGAAAATGACTATCTGCAACGAGAAAAATGAAAATCGCAACGAGAGAATCGCAACGCGAAATGAAAATCGCAACGAGAGAATCGCAACGCGAAACCAAAATCGCATTGCGATTTTCATTTCGCGTTGCGATTTTCTCGTTGCGATTTTCATTTCGCGTTGCGATTCTCTCGTTGCGATTTTCATTTCTCTCGTTGCGACAGTCATTCTCTCGTTGCGATTTTCATTTCAACCAAAAGACAAAACAGTGTTGCAAATTTTAGTTTCAAGAATAAACTACTACTTTTTATGTTTATTGTTTTTGGTATATCTTCACAGTGTAGTTTTTGGTATATCTAACTTGGTATGTTTATTGTTTTTGTAGAAATTTTTTTCGGCTTCATTGACATTAAGGAATAAAGTTAGCCTAGCCACTACAATTTCTTCGAAGCTTTCACCTGCACAAAGACAATTGTTTGAGGAAACCTGCTTCGGGCCATGGCTGTACAGCATCCGGGTGGAGATGCTAATTTGACCCATTTGTGGCTTCAGACCATGACATCAAATCTACCCGACAGAATACAACGTGGTGAGGAAGAGATATGGTTTCATTTTCCACCAGCGTATACTTGTTTTGGGCGGAAGGAGTTCTGCTTAATCACTGGTCTACGATTCGGACACGATGATGTAGGTCGGTACACTCGTCATATCGCCCGCCCATCATGGTTATCCTGGGTTTTTCCGGATGAGTCAATGGAGAAGCCGAACCTACACGTCGACGACCTGAAGAAATTGTTTAATAAGAAAGATGGTTTCACTCGGATGGATGACGTCGATGTTGTCCCGAGTATGCCTTCTACTACTTGTGTATGCCAGCTTTTTAGGCAGAGAGGCCAACAACCTATTCCTCGGGAGCTAATAATATTGGTAGAGACCTGAATGCATGGAATCTGTTTCCGTGGGGTTCGTATATATGGAAAGCTACCTGGACTAAGTTGTCTACTGCCTTTGATGACCGCAAAAGTTTGCGTGGCGATGGTCGAAATACCTTTGTCAGGCTTTGTTTGGGCCTTTAAGGTAAGAATTTCTATATAATGTTCTAAAATTATATTAATTATTTACAATTACTAATTTTGTTATTATATTGTTTGTAGATTTGGATATTCGCGGCTTTCCCCAGCATGCGTACATATGCAATAAAAACGTCAAATGATATTCCCAGGGCTATTTCCTGGAAGAGGAAAAATCTGTTGGATTGGGAAGACTTAATACCATATACGACAATAATAATGTAAGTTAACACAAATACTTTCATATAATATATAACAAGTTATTAATAGTAGACGTTTAACTTTGTTTGAGTTTTTATATTGTTAGGAGGCCAACATTCCATTACAAAGACTGACACCCACGGAGAAGAGCTTGCCACTGATTGGTGGCAAGCTAGTCAGAGTTTTTTTTGATGGCACGGATGATGAGCAGCATCCACTTCCTCCAATTCGAGAGCCATCACCTCACCCAGAGCCATCACCCGATCGACCCGACTATACACCTCTAGAACGAGAGCCATCACCTATCCCGTCACATCATCGAGCCTCTTCTCCACCATCACCTCATGATAGGCGACCGGTAAAGAGGCCACGACATTTATCTCCTTGTTCTCCACCTCCACGGGATGAGTTACGTGATGAGGTCAATGCCTTGCGTGAGGAGATCGGTACTCTACGCGATAACGATGGTGCATGGCGTGTGGAGGTGTCAACTTTACGTGGTGAGGTTGCCGCTCTACGTGAGATGATAGTATCGTTGCAGAATGAGGTTCATACTCTACGCAACGAGGTAAGTTTAAGATTTTCCATATTTAACTTAATGATAAATTTACTCGTAATTTCACTTAGATTAGCCATTTCACTTAGATTGCTTAGTAAATTTATTCGGTTGCTGCCAATTCTGCTAAACTGTGTATTCTTTAACACTGTGAAATAGTATTTGTCTTTGTTTTGTCTTTTGGTTGAAAGTAAATTTGTTCGGTTGCTGCCAATTCTGCTAAACTAATACCCTGAAGTCAGTATTTGTCTTTGTTTTGTCTATTGGTTGAAGTAATGCAATCCATTCAAGTTTCAATTTACAGAAGAAGAAATAGTTTACTTTCGCAACACGAAACTTAAAATCGCATTGCGATTTTTATTTCGCATTGCGATTCTGTCGTTGCGATTTTCATTTCGCGTTGCGATTTTGGTTTCGCGTTGCGATTTTGGTTTCTCGTTGCGATTCTCATTTCGCGTTGCGATTTTAAGTTTCGTGTTGCGAAAGTAAACTATTTCTTCTTCTGCAAATTGAAACTTGAATGGATTGCATTACTTCAACCATAGACAAAACAAAGACAAATACTAACTTCAGGGTATTAGTTTGAAACATATTTTTCTTTGTTATCTGATGCATTTTGTGAACTATGATAGAATAATGACTTGGGTGAATACAATGCAAGTTTGAAACATATTTGTCTTTGTTTTCACTGTTTAAATATCATGTCTGTTTATTTACTGATTTTTGTATTTAATTATTTAGCGGCCCGATAGAGTGGATGCTTTACGTCGGGTTATGCTTGCACGACGGAGTTCACGCATCAGACAGCGTGCACGTGCTATTAAGTCTCCGTACACCCCAATAGTGCGAAGACACCGCAAGAAGAAGCCCGACTCGCCTGTCATCCCTCAAGAGTCCACTCCTATCGTTGAAGAGGCCCCCTATCATTCCTCGAGAGTCCCCTCCCACCGTTCAAGAGGCCACTGTCATCATTGAAGAGGTCCCTCCCACCATTCAAGAGCTCGATTCACATGGCGTCATATGTAGGCTTCTTGAGAAACCCTCTGACGTGCCGGACATAATGGATGAGAGTTGGCTCTCATATAAGTTACCGGCCAGTACCATTCCGGTATCGGAAGTGGAGAGGAGACAACTACCAGACACAATTCTGGATAACACCCTTTGGGCTAAGACCGCAGTTGATTTTTATCTACATGCGGAGCCAAGGGTGTTTCACTGACATATGTAAGCTCACCGATGATATTTGTTGCTTGATCGGTCTTGGTGGGCGTATTATTAGGGGTCGAAGACAATGGCTATTTCGATGGGGGGGTAAGTCTTATATTTTTCTTATATTTCAATTTGATTAATTTTTTTTTTAATTTATGTAAGTCACTAATATATGTCTTTTTTTGTAAAACAGCATATCGATGTGTGGGTGACACGTCTTCTAATAATAAGAAAACTTAAGAAAAATAAAAATATACGATATACAATTATGCCGACGTCTTTTAACGCCGTTCACTTGAAGAATCACGAGATGAATCATTTGATTTGGGCAATGGACAAGCTAAACTTTATCCTGCATGGTGGGTCGATAAGGTTATTTATTTTAGATTGAGTTTAAAGGTTTTATGAAATAAGTGCGCAAATGAATGAATTATACTTATGATTGCAGGTGTTTATCCATGTTTTGGAACGTAAACATTGGATTCTCGTCGAGCTTCAGCTCCCATCCCTTAAGACAATAGTGTATGACAAACATGATAAATTACATATCATTGGCTGATTTAAGAGATATTATTAAGGGATGGAGCTCTCATTTGGCTAAATTCTTGGATGCGATCAATTATTGGACTTGTTCTGGAAACAAGAAGCTAAAGAAGCTCAATATTACAGTTATTAGAGAGACGAGACCGCGCCACAACAAACGGAAGGAGCCAGAGGAGATTGTGGTCCTCTCGTATGCTTGGCGTTGGAGCGTTTGACGACGGGAAGCACCAAGTATCTACCTCCCACCGATAGAGATAGAGCTGCAGTAGGCTTGTGGTTTCGACATTATATGGCTAAATCGATATATACGAGACGCTGCCTACCTGCATCCGCGTTATAAAAATGTCCATAAACAATTGGTAAGTTTATAGACTTTTGGTTTGAAAATGTTTGGTTAAGTACCTAGAATTCAATAATTTGCTGTTTGTAGGTTTTAGATGTGTAGAAAGTGTTGTTTGAGCAAATGTTTGGTTTCTGCAGGTTAATCTCAGAAGTGAACTGCGTGAAAATGATGTATGGCTGCAAAAGTTGATTCAATAGTTTAATTGATTGTTTTTTGATTGTTTAATTGATTTGTAAAAGTTGATTCAATAGTAGATGATTGGAAATAAGAATTATTGCTTATTTTTTGATTGTTTAATTGATTTGTAAAAGATGATTTGTAAAAGTTGATTGTGTAATTGATGCGAACATAATTCTTATTTGTGCTTGTTTAATTGATTGAAATGTAATGGTTGATTTTGTTGATTTCAATCTGCATTATGTTGAAGGCAAAAATGACTATCGCAATGCGGAAATGAAATCGCAATGCGAAATGAAAATCGCAACGAGAGAATCGCAATGCGAAATGAAAATCGCAATGCGGAAATGAAAATCGCAACGAGAGAATCGCAATGCGATTTTCATTTCGCATTGCGATTTTCAT